AATGAAGTAGAGCAAGTACATTCTATCTAGTAACGCATATCAAACAAGTACAAGTTTCAGTCTCATAGAATGTTCAACGTTCAGTTATTTACACTGAAGGTACTCATCTACGTTCATTTCTTCTCCCAACTCATTCACTTTAATATTTCAATTTCCACACGATCATCAATTTTTGAGAAAAGGAAACAAGTTTATCCACGCATGCTCTCAAAGGAATTAAGCATTTTTTCATTCTATCATAATTCTATTTTCGTACACCTTACTTTCGAGCACAAGATCAGATAGAACAGGATAAGATTAACATCCAAATGATCAGGTGGAACAGATACATCCTTTGAGTTGTATAGCAAAACCCACTAATATATGCATCTTCATTGAATAACATGAAACAACAGAGATGTATATACTTCAGCAGAACCTTACGACTTCAGCCTCTTCCAGAATTCTGTAGTCGTCTTAAGATTAGAATCCTGTAGAGCCCTCTTGTCTTTATAAACAAGACCAGAGCAACTAGAAACCCGAAAAGAGTAACAGAAGCCAATATGAAAAATGATAACATGAAACAATGGGTGCCACGACATGAATGCCCTTCGCTTGATGCTTCTTTGTCGTAGATATGACCAATCACTCCTACAGAAAGAATGGAAGATCCAACAGGACTAGCTACAGCAATGGTGTTAAATATTGTACCCATATGTGGCACACCAAATATCTCAGACGTGATGGTGGGCATCAATGACCATTGTGAACCGTAACAAACACCAACTAAAACCGAACCCAGGTACAAATTCCCTGGAAAACCAGAACCGATAATTATATGGCCTCCAGCCATCGTTGCTAGCGATACAGTCATTAACAATGGCCTTGCCCAGCCTTGTCTGTGCATTAAAATATCAGAAACATACCCAGCTCCAAAACGCCCGAGAAAATTCCATATGCTCCATAGAGAAACTAATGTACTTCTCTGGACTGATGTGTAACCGAGTGATTCTCCTATTTGGCTGATATTGTTTATTGTGGCCAATCCTGAGCCCATTCCACAGAGCATTGCAACAAACAACAACCAGAAGTTCGTGGTTCGCATGGCTTGAAAAAGATTCAATTCTTCAACATGTAGAATATCCTCGGAATGGGGCATCCGATGCTCGTAAGTCGGAGCATTGGCACAGTCTCTGGGATTCTCTACTGCAGACTTCTCTGAGGCAAACGAATCAGTGCCCTTCATTAGCGGGGTGTTTAAACTGGAAAAGGTTTGTAATTGTGATGATCTTAATAAATCTTCCTTGTGTGCTTTGACGGCAATCGTAATTGGTGAAGACAGTAGAACAAGTAGAACTATCAGAGAGAGAGCTTGCGCCCATGGTGAAAAACTGACAGTGTTTTTCAAGATTATTAAGAACATAAGATATGCTGCGACTACCACAGAAATCAGCGAGATACCATTCAAATATTTCTTCTGATTCTTTTCTCTATTTGGTACCTGGTGGACTCTCACGAACCACATAAGAACAATAGAAAGAACAGGTGGTAAAAGAGCCAGCATCAACAAGAAAGTGCTTGGCTTCCCTTGGAATAATGTCTGATACACTTGTATCAGTACAGCTCCACTTAGACCAAGAAAACCCTGTCAACGATCATTGTCAAGATAACAAGCAAGGATCTATGTCCATCACATTTGATTGAATCTAATTTTACTTCAAAAGGCCAATATCAAATAAGTAATTTGATTCTCTACGGTTCCAAGCCTTTGGTCATGATTTTCAATTTAATTATAAATAGAAAGTGAAGAAGTCTATGTAAAATATTGTGTTGGTGATTTTGATGCTTCAAGAAACAAAATGCCCCAGCTATAATGAAAAGAAACACGTAAAAAACACTGTTTATGATACTCCTATGTATACTCAAAAAACTATAAAATCAAATCAAATGTTAGTAGTAATTTAAAGCAACAATTATTTGATAAAACAGTTGATTTGGATAGCCTACCAGCCCGTTATCTACCAGTCATTCAAATCATCCTGTTTACAAAATATTAGATAAATTTTTTGCCTCTATTAATCTGCTCAAATTTATCTTCAAAATCAATTCGTAAATTGGAACGATAAATAATCTTAAAATTAGTAAGTAAAGTTAATCAAAGCATTCAAGTTCGAATCCATAAACCAATGTTCACTGTGCAGTATGAATTATAGATTGAAAGAAACAGAGAGGGAAAAAACTTTTGTGTGTGTGTGAAATTACCTTCAAAATCAATCTGAAAATTGGAAAATCAGACAACGGCTTCTCGATTAACTTATACTTAGCTAATAAAGTTATTCAAATTATTCAAACTCAGTTCGATAAACAAACAATTTCAATTAAATTTATCTGTCTACTATAACGTATGAATTAGGGTTGAAACTGGTTAAATACCTTCATGATGCCGACAATGGTGCCGCTGTACTCCGGAAAGTTCTGAACAGCCGTAACAACATTAGCTGTATTGAAAAACGTCTGGGCATGAGCAGCGAGGAACATCAAAAGGCACATCACCGGAACCTCCGGACGGGGAATCGCTCCAATGATGGCAAGCCAAATGAAGAAGTACCCAAAAAAGCACTGGATTGCACCGGCGGCATGGACCGCCCAGGGGCCATAAAAACACGAGTTAGACTGGCGGCGGCGACTGTTGGCTGTGGCGGAGTAAAGGATCCCGGAGAGAATTCCGGCGTTTGCCCCGATGTCTTTGAAGACTGAAATCAAGTCAAGAGTGGATTGATCGTAATTTTGGCTGGATTTTAGGAGTGGAGAATATATGCCGAAAGCATATGAAGCACCACAACTGCACTGAATCCAAATGCTTGCTACTGCTGCAATCCATCGGCTGCTCTCCATTAATGGGCAGAGATTTTTCTTGATGAAAACGGTTAAATTCGATTCCGTTTATATATACCAAATTGTTCAAATTTGAATGGCCTTCCTAATTTCGAATAATTACAATGTATCATTTACCGAATTTTTTTTTTTTTTTTATCTGACGGTGACATAATTCAATTCTTGTCAGGCACAGCAACAAAAATGGAAGTGTCCGAGGCGGCCTGCTGTTTGTTTTGGGTTATGTGTCCATATAGTATAGCTTTGTTGATATAAAAATAACAATAATAATTTTTAATATTGAATAAAATTATGTTTACTTTATTTATTGTATTATTTATTGAGCATGCAAATTAAAGTGCTTGTTATCACGTGATAATGTAAGTTTGGTACTTGCATTGAGAAATACAGTGTGACACAGCTTATATTTTGATCATAAATAATGTGTTCACAACCAATGTATAAGAATTGACACCTTGTACTGGAATGTTGTAGTGTTAACCGATTCACTATTCAGGTTTGTGATTTGTCCTTATCACAAAAATAGTTAAAGGTGATATAAGTACACTTTGAGTATATTGAACAGACCACGTGTTGAATTTAATTCTATAGTATGACCGTGTGGAGAATTAAATTTCACTTGATCGCTGTGTTTTTCATCTGAATAATTTGACAGGATTATGTATATCTTTTCGCGATTTTAATTGTTATTTGATTCATCAATGTGTGAGATCAATTTAATCGGTCAAATATATCGATGAATTGAAAACTTGAGAATGAGCGGAGTACAGAACATGAATTCATGTCGGGAACCGTCACCCTGACAATGGGTAGAGTGACTACTTAATTATTTTCTGTTGAACGGTTAAAATCTGAGCTCAGTGTTTAGTGACGGCTAAATTTCGACATCTGTGATTTGTTTACATGAACGCTGAAGAAAATAAAACTTAAATTAGTGAGAATAATTAGAGGGGCAAAACGATCATTTATGCTCATACCTAATTATCGGATCTCGAATGTGGATAAAATACATATACAGCAGGTCAGATGAAAGTATTGCAGATTTATTGGCTTCTATAATTTTATATATTTCGAGAGTTCAGTCTTTTGCCTTTAGTGAAAAAAGCAAAGACTAATAATTAGATTGGGTGGTCTAGGGTCGACTAGATATCACCTAATTATTGGAGCTTGGAAAATATATGTCCGATCAGATCCCTGTGGTAGCTCCATAAAGTATTGAAACTTAATTACGGTAATTATAATAGTTTTGGGCTTAATTGTAATTACAATAAAGTTTTGTAATTGATTGTAATTACTATGAAAGTTATGAACTTAATTGTAATTGTAATTGTAATTAAAATTCTAGGACTACACTTGCAAGTATATGTAAACTAATTAGAATTGGACTTAAATTAGAACTCATACTTGAGTTTTAATTAGAACTCTTGTTTGAATATGAAATTATAATTTACTAGAATTTTATCATCTTTTTCTTTATAAATAGAGACTAAATGCATAGAAAAATACTACAACATTCATAATTCCACAAGATTCAAAATTGTAGAGAGAAAAAGAGAGAGAAAATATATTATTTTCTTGTAGTCCAAAAATTCAAGAATTAATTTCTGGATTAATTGAAAGAATGTGCCCACATACCGGTGTAGTCTTTGCTTTGGAGAATACCATAGAATGCTTGAAGGTTTGAAGCACCAAATTCTTGTAATTAAAGGAGACGGAAGTTCGCAAACCAGAGTTATTTCAAGGTTGATCATTGAACTTAGGTAAATGATTCGAATCTTTTAATTTTGTTATGACATACACGTGAACATCTAGACGATTTTGCTTATTAAATTAAAGAAAATATTAATTTCTGAGTAATTTCACTTTTGCATTCCAACAGTTTGGCTAAGCTCAATGCCAGGGCCAAAACTGCTTTTGGCCCTGGCCTGGCTTTGGTTTTCCCAATGTGAGGAGGCTTGCTGTAGTGAGATTTGCTTCTTGAACTGTTAAAGATATTTCAGTAAACTTGATCAAAAAGTTATATTTTACTAGTGAAGCTTGTTACCCAACTAAGCGTTGCATGTTTCAAATATATATATGCTAGATTGGGAAGGATTTATAAACGATTTATATTATAAATAAATAGATTGAGTTATGAATAAGTGTATAATACTGTTGAATTTTATAAAATTTGTAGATAAAAGTGATTTGATTAATTATAAATCATTTATAAATTATTAGCCAAAGACTCGTGTCACTAGTCTAAAATGTATGCCTACGCACGAAGCATTGTCCAAGTGTCTAGACTAGGGCATAGGCATGTGAAAATATGGTCTCATTTGTTGACCACTTGGCGCTACACTGAACAATAAGTCAAGACCTACTAACAATCAATACGATTCTCCTTTCAACATCACTTGAGATCATACAAACCTTGAACCATAAATAATACAAGATCAATAATCTCCTCAACCATAAAAATAAAAAATGAATAAAATCTCAGGCGATAAAATACATTCTTTAACAGTGATTTGACCCCATTCCATCCACACATTCTTTATTAAAATAATATTATACGTAAATTCAAAATTTTTTCTTTATTTTTTAACCACACATTTTCTTTTAATATATTACTCAAAAATGTATTTTTTTTGACAAAAATGGGGCTCAAACAAGGCCTAGAATACGAATAGGGATTTTATCCCTTGTCCAAATAGCTCAAGTAAAAACATGAATAAAATAGAATTCTAACAATCTATTCAAAATCATAGGTTGTATCATATACTATAAAAACTCCGGGCTTTTACAATTATAGAAAGATGACGGTCCAACAAGAAAACTTAAACACGACTCACATGCTTTTATATGAAAGTACAACATTTATTTTTAATATTTTTATGACTATTATACATATAAATGTCACAAAATAATACATACCATGCCCATATTTGTTGAAGCTAGAAGTTGAGATGGGGAATACTTATCAACCCACCATCCACCACCATGTCGTGTCCAGTAACAAATGCAGAATCATTAGAAACTAGGAATAGTACTGCATCTGCTATATGTTTGGCTGTCAATGTTATCCCTTTCAAAGGAGTGAATGGTCCAAATACCTTCTCAACTACCTCGCTTGATGTCATACCTGAGTCTACAGTAATCGATGAAGCGATGGCAGATGGTGATACACTGTTAACCCTAATTCCATGAACCCCAAGTTGTTGACTAGCTGCTCGAACCAAACCCAGTACAGCATTCTTCGACATTATGTAGTCGGTCATGGTTGTTGCCCCCCTCCAGTTGTCGGACACCGCACTTGCGGTGCACACGATGGTCCCCTTTACACCTTTCGCGATCATTGCAAGGGCAGCATGCTTTACGCAAATAGCCATGCCACGTACGTTGACCTTAAACAACCGATCAAACTGTGAGAAATCAAGATCGAGTAGTTTTTGTTCAGACTTACTCGCTATTCCTGCATTGCTAAACATTATATCAAGTTGGCCGTATTTTTGAACAGTCCAATCAACCATGTCCTTTACTTGTTCTTCATCACTAACATCGCAGTGCACATAGCTGCACCTATCTGAGCCAATCGATTCCACCACTGCTTGACCTTTCTCATCTTGTACATCAACAATCACTACTGCTCGCGCACCATGATTGGCGAAAACATGGGCTGTGGCCTCCCCGATGCTACCTGCGCCACCAGTGACAATTGCAACTTTGCCTTGTAGCTTATTTATGGGCAAAACTGATTCAAGATGTGCCATTTTTTGAAGTCACTAAAATGAAAAATAGATGGCTTATGGTTTTCAGTTTTCCTAAGGTTTGAAATTAATGAAAATTGCAGTCTCTTAGCATTCGATTGATGATGATTTATATAGGCCTAAGTTTGCACATTTTTTTTAAGGCCTCAGCCTACTTTCCATTTTGGCGGCGTTGGTTTTCAACATCAGGTTTTAACTTTTCAATATCATTTTGGGGGCTTATATATTTAAATGAAATGAATGAATTCATATCTCGTCACAATCCATTTATGAAAATTAAGCACGCGTAGAATCTTGATGAAAAATTGTTCGAGCACACATACATATGATGACTTGTAAAAAGACAAAATTAACAATTATATTATTCCTTAATAACTTGAACTATTAGACGAGGATTTCAACATTTTTCGTTCATATTATGAATTAAAGTGCTAAAATATTAAAGTAAAAATATTCTGCTTAATTAAATCTTCTGTCCAATGTTCAACCAGTCAAATAAATATATCGTAACAATATTTGTTTAATTGGAATCCAGCTGTTCTTATTTGAATAATTTATCAACAATTTTTTTAATAAAAAAGAGCGATCTTTTATTGACTACTTTGGGAGTGTTGACCATTCGAAGAATGGTAAAATTTGGCCCACGAATTACACCATTATCTGTTCGATATATTTTCAATCACTATGAAATTTAAACATCTAACCAAAATCATGCATTTTTCTATTCATATGTTTCTCAGTTTTCAAAATTGCCAACGCCCATCCCACCCTGCCTTAGACGGGCCAGGCAGGAAAGGGGCAACTTTTTGCCCTGTTTATTTTTTATTTATTTTTACATTTTCAAAATTTTGAGTTATGCTATTATTAAAAAATAAAATACAAATTCAAAATGGATTTTTAATTGATGAATTATCTAGAAATAAAATTATTTTTATTATTATTTTTTCTTTTCACGGGAGAGACGAATTTTTTTCGCCATCACTAACTTCAATAAATGAAGAAAATTAATGTATCTATATTTGACTATCCTATCCTATAACTATATTATCCTTTCCATTTAAATAATTGTCTTCCTGTTGAATCTTGGACAATTCAACTTCATATATAGACCGGCGTCTCAACGGATTTGCTCTTCTGCTAGTGCAAATCTTCCTCAGTAGGGAAAAATATAGTTCAGGAATAGTTGGTCTACCTAAATTCACTTGTCCACATCCGCCCCTACCTCCACGTAGGCTTAAGTCTCCAACTACGTATGGTTAGATCCTTTATGAACTCCCCTATGATTGCTATTACCAAATAGAAGCTTTTTCCTGTACTGTAATATTGCAAGTCTATTATTGTGTTTTGGAATTCTTTGGTCAAACAAATAGGTAAGGTGTCCACTTTATTGATTTAACTTCACTTTACTTAAGATTACAGACAATGATCAGCGGGCAGTGAAGGCTCGCAAAAGTTGATAAGTGTGCTTTTGCACACTTATTTAGATCACAAACATGATTTAATAATGAGCAAAATGATTGAATTGTGACTTAATTTCGTTATATTTGTGAATTGTAGGGAACACCGATGAACATGGTGAAATTCAGAAGAAAAGAGCCGAAAAAAGACTAAAATGGAGCAAAGTGATAGTTCGAGGACCAAGTTGCAAATAATCCATAGATGAGACGGGAAATGGAATGAAGATTCAAGAGTGTTAGAGGTTAATCAGATGAGGAAAGGAGTCAAGAGGTGAAATATAATCGAAGTATTATCAAGTATCAACTTTCAGGCGAAAAAGCTATGCTCGTGAATTTTAATCTCTACTTTAGATCCATTTTTGACATAGTAAACATCAGAATTTGAGGAAGCCTATTTCTATCAAAAGTGTAGATCTTTGAGTTTTCTTCACAATGCACTTTGAATCACTTCAATCGGAGATTAGGAGAGAAGGTTATGACCAAAATACTAAAAATTGTTTAGCGGAAAGAATGGTATAACTATGCGGTCGCATAGAAGCCTCTCGAGAACTTTTTCTCAAATTTTTTTTACTCTATGCGACAGCATAGAAATGTACTAT